GCACCTTTTTTGGTCTTAATTCTTTGCATTTTTTCTATTATTAATAACCTGGCCTTAGTTTGATCACACGCGGAAATAGAAGAACATGATACGAAGATTAAGCAATTTGATTAGCTCGGACCGTGATTAATTTGATTTTATGCATGTATTCTATAAAAAGTAACGCTCTGAAAATGAAGAACTAATTGCATGTTATTGAAGGCAAAATAAAATTCACGAATTATATTTCTTAGTTATTTTGGTAGTTCAGTTTACAAGTGGACTTAATAGTAGATCTTTAAAAACTTCCACAAATTTTAAGCTTACTCATCCGTGTTAGTTTCCCCTGGGGTTGAGGGTTGGGGGTGGGGTGCCCTATAATTATGTAAGTACACCGGTATATATTTAACTTTAGAAGAAAGTTAATGAACAATTTTGTTCCCTACATAGTTTCCCTATTGTATACTGTACAGGAACTATACATCAGAAAACTAAAATAAGCTTATTTAAAACCGTGTCCCCTCAAAAATGTCTGATGACTTAAATTGATTTTTTCCATTTTTTCTTTTCTTTATTTATTTCTTTATTTATTTTTTTTTTTTACAACTCATTTAATTAACAAAACTATCTTTTAAACTAAGCTTCCTGCAAGCTGTGTTTGGAAAATAAAAATTCGCATTTAAAGCATTAAATATTGAGCGACTTTTCCATATCTGCAATCTGTCATTTGACTGTAAATTAAACACATCCCAAACATTTAAAGTACATGTTATTAGAAAAGAAGGGAATGGCTTCATTTAGTTCATTATTTATATTAATTAAGTTTTTCACCTACCTACATTTTGTACATATGATGTACAACTGCTGTTTAGCAATATTTCAAAACCAGTGCGGAAAAGTTAACATTCTGGTAACAAATTTTTCTGTGTATATATCATTTATGCTAATGATGGATTATGAAATTCAAGCGTAACTCGTGAGAAGCTAGCAAATATATATCACCTTGAGCAATACACATCGTATTACATCGTGAAACCGTCTGTTGCAATTTACTGAAATCATACAGTCATCGTTATTGTCGAGTTGTAATTTTCTTACAATTTAATATCACAACTAAAGTACATGTAATGTAGATTGCAACTTTTACAGAAATGCTTATACATGCACTTGCTTCTAATTTACCTGCTTTCCATATTTACATTAATGCATGAAGTTTGCACATTGCGTTCTCCAATAACATACATATAGGCCTGCTTACAACCTGAATATGAAATCATGAAATCTTGTAACCGCACAGGACTGCAATTATTTATAACTCGGAAAGAACCCCATCCTCCTTGCCATCCCGACCAATCCCCACCCCACACCATTTTATTGTTTCATTTACCTTGTGGTTACATATACAAAAAAAGTATGTATAAACAAAAATTTTTGTAATCTTTCTCAAACCAAGAAAATATTGTTGTAAGTTCTGTTTTTATAAACATTGTACGAATTTGATATTTGCTACGAACTTAACGTGAAAATTGCCTTAAATTCGTTTTATTATGAGCAGAAATTACTAGATAAACCAAGAATGAAGAGTTCTGATATTATATTAACCTGCTCGAAAATGTGTTTCGGTAAGACCTAAATAATTTACTGAATATTAATTTTTTTTTAATATTAATATTTATAAAAGCTTATCAGGCTTACTAAACATGTGGTGAATATTGTCAAATTTATCACCTACATGTCTGCTTCACCTCTTCAAGTACATCTACAAGCATTTAGATGTTGTAAAAGCTTTAATTTTGAAAATGGTTTCCCATGTTATTTTTTATCAGTAAAAATGAGTTCCAGGATCACATAACCTTATACGGGTTTGCGGTACCTTGAAATCCATTGCTCGCGGTCCCCACCCCGTATTGTCCTCATTGAGAACCTCTTTGTGAAAACATTGCAAAAACTTAGCGTACATATTTTTATGGAGAACTCACCGACGTTATCTCTTCGCATAAGATATTTAATATATCAGAATTTCATTTACATAATTATGCTTTAGAATGGAGTGTAATGCGATCGATGAATATCTTCGTCATTTTAATTTGCCAGTAAAATATAGCTAAGTGAATTATCATCCTTAGTAACGTGAGATGGAAAGTATTTGGTGTTTCGACATTCGATACGCGATTTTTCAGAAGTTGTGTCGAGTGGTGTCTGACACGAAATGCTGGGTGTCACTTAAGATTCCTCAACACATACATATCATCTCCCCCAAAATTTCCCGCCATTAGCGGTCTATACTAGTTCCTGCAGTTTTGCAAAGCTGCCATACATTGCAGCTTTGGCAATGGCTTGCCTGGGGATGTTTGATTGATTGAATGTTGTTTTACATCCCATTCGAAAAGAACTATATGCGGTATATTGCATATATTTGCCCCCACAAAAGTCAAATTTTGAAAACTTTCTGAAATGTGCTGAATTCAATAAATTGTATGAGAAATATAAATTAACAGAAAATATTATAGTGTCAAAGCAGTGTATTCACAATTTTTGTTTTTATGACGTCACAAACTAGTCCGATTTTATATCCTTTTTCAGAAAGAGGACAAAATGGATAAAATTTCAACAATTTTAGCTTCAAAATTTATAGAGCGCAAGTTTGTTCAGGAACAATATTGACATATTTCATTGATATTATCATTCTACACATTATATCAAAATATTGATCCTGAACACACATGCGCTCGGTGACTTTTACTCAAAATATACGAAATATGTACAATTTTCTGTAAAATTCATAAAAAAATGAAATTTACGTCATGTTTGTGACGTCATTACGTACATATGGCGTCATTACTTGTGACAATATTCAGTGCTTTGAAGTCAGCATATACTCCCCTGTTTAAGAACTTAATTAAATATATCTCCATCAAAGTTTGATTTGGGGGGCAAATATTGGTTATTACCGAATAAAGTTCTTTGTCACTCTTATAGAGACGTAACCATATATACCGGTGAAGGGCTTCAAATTTAGACATTTTTGCGACACTCAAGGTCATTATGCAGATGCAGTTCTTAATCGTGCAACCTTGCGACTTTGCTCTTTATGGTGTCAAACGCAACACCCGTGACTTTCAGTCTTAGTGCTCGGCACTTGGTAAAGGGACACTACCTTAGTTTACAAGACGGGGCGAACGAGAATCGAACCCAGACCTGTCGATCACGAAACACTGGGCTACAGTGACTGACAATGAAATATTTCGCCTGGAATTTCACTAAAAGCGTTAATTTTATCTAACAAGTCAACAAGTTCTTGATACTTAGCTCACCTGAGCCAAACGTCTTGTATCATTTCATACAATGACAGAAAATCTTCTTTTAAAGAAGAGTCTTCAGTGTTAATTCAAAATCTTTCGTTATGCCCCCTTTCCAAAATTGAAATTAAATGCTTCTTACAGGCGCCTCTGTGAAGATATAGGTCCATTTGTGATACATGCTACGTGTTTTTAATATTAAAGACAGGAGTCGTTACTGGATAACTTAAAAAACAGATCTATAATAACCCAACTGACAAGCCAGCAAGACGATCGACTGTCACCTCGTATCAATCTCGCGCCTTACGAGATTCTGATTTTCATTTCCTTCCTCGCCCTTCTAAGGTTCAAACCAGTTAATATCAGAGAAAATAAATTATGTTTTGTGGCAAGGCCCATTTTCTTTATCCCGTGTAATCAGCAGATAATGGGTCATGAAGTCTGAAGTCAGTCTGTGACCTAGTAAAATATCATATAGCACTTGAAAGGTCGCAAGCGTTTTGTTTCTAACGGTGTAAGGTCAAAAATTATTTTATGAACAAGATTGTCCCACCCTTATGTAGTAATCTGGTAAATGTCGTTGCACAATGTGCATCTGTTTTAAATTGCCAGTATCTTAATTCTGAATTGGAACAAAATATTTTAATACGCAAAAAAACCTACATCCATGTATATACATGTAATAAGTATCAATTGTTCGACAGTTAAGAATATACTCTACACTCTGAAAGTGGAGATACACAAATCAGTTCATTATCTGCTATACAAGTGAATACTTTAATTTTGAAGTACTCAGATGTAAGCGCACTTTTCAGCCTAGCCACAAGATGAAAGAGGAGTTAATTATACTGCCAACCAAAATATAGTCTGATGTTCCTTCTTTTTCCTTATTTGCAGTTGTACTCAACGGTTCGTGCAATGAACTTTCGCACTGGAATCATTTAGAATTGTTCTCTTCAGTGCCAAAACATTCGAACCCAATTAATGCTGCAGTAACTGTACTTTTATACCGGCGGGATTAAAGTGTAAATGTTTGCACATACAAATTAATGTAATGTCATTGAGTTCCACCATCAGAGATCTGCAGCATTGAAGTTTAGTTTTCGCTATATATATTTACTCAGATTTTATACCTAACCTTCAAAACTCCTCGTATTAAATCTGCTAAACACGCGTTTTTCGGTGATAACTAATTGTTATTCAATAGAAAACAGACAATATAAGAGCAGAATGTACAGAAGTACGACGTTTTCGCGTCAAGTGTTTACACGCTGCCTGCCAAGACCCCCCTGTTTTACTTGAAGAGAAATCGAAATGTGTTTCCAATAAGATTTAGATTGTTTAAACTCATTGCAGCACATTATATAAGCACAAGGCTGCACCAGGGGCGAATTCTTCATACGTTTGATAGGATAAACAGCTTATCTTCCGACAATAAAAAACATATTTAAGTGTATATTATACAGAGGAGCAGTGTGCAGTGTGCACTTTATAATAACAAGGATGTACCACGCCTCGACATACGGACGCAGCGAACCATTGTATTCTCATAACAAAATGCGTTATTTTATGACATGTTTTGAAATGTCTGACACAGTTAACTGATTTTTTTTCACAGGAGTGGTACAAATTTAAGATTTAACAGTACTTGACAAGAACGTGAGTTGCTTGTCAGAAAAACTCGGGCATCAGAGAGAAAGAAAAAAAACACTATTAGCATTGTTTTTATGGTTTATTAACATTTTATTTTAGATAACAAAAAAATAATAACATTATGAAGACTTTTTTTGCCAGAAATGTAACATATGTCTGATTTTGCATCGGTCAACGATGTCGAAAACTTTCAAAAGGACAGCTTTAAGGGAAAAAAATTACACAAGTTTTCCAACAGAATACTAGTATTAAGTACATAAAGGCAAATGCAATGTTCCTGTAATGTAATAGAGATTGCGATCTCCAAATCCTACAAATAATACAGTGTTTTCAGTAACATTGAATCTTACTACAGTTCAGTACCTGTAAACGAATTAAATACATTAGAAGTACAATTAATTTGGTATCCTTTTTACAAGTTAATGATCACATCCCAAAATATTAATATACATGTAAATAGATTGAATAAAGTTTTTCTGTTCAGGTATAAACATTCACTCAACATTCAATCAAATATTAGTTTATATTAACAAATATAGTTACTAATATCATATAAAAATATACAATATATCGTCAGAAATGTCTGTTGGCAGTAGATTTTATATATAATAGTTGTATTCTCGCCCTAAATGCTGCATGTTAGTAGGCAGAATGCAATATTGAACTCTATCCAACTTTTCTGCTACGAAATTTTGAGTCTCCTTATACAGAAGAGTGATCGAAAGGGCGACAACCCAACGCCTGCTGTACTGATACGAAACGGTGGGAACTGAGTCTAGTTGGAAGCGTTTGAAAAAGAAGTTTTAATTAAGGATTGAAGTAATCCTTTATCCTTTTAAAACAGCACAGCACTACACACCTATTTCAACTTAAGTCAAGTAGCCACTGTTTCGTAATCTAAAAATGAAAATTTTGAGTTTATTGTGTTAACACTTTCTAAAATAGGATGTTTTCTCTATATTCTGTGTATTTCTTTGGTGGATATTATGCCGAACAATACCCTGAACATACATTGAAAACATAATATCTCGGACTCCCCATTTTCAGTTCTATTATGAAACACCGTACATATTTATTACATTATATTGTGGTAGAGTCTTTGATACGGATGATTATCAAGTTTCACATAATTTCAAATCATGGAGAGTAAATACTAACATCTTCAATGAAATAATGCTCTATGAAATTAAAAATTTGATAAATGATAAATACTTTACATGTACTTCACACAGACTTTTTCCTATACTGTTAACAAATTATAAATCGTATAATCATTACAAAGTTATAATTTAATTATTACACTCTTGTCTCCATAGATTCATGCTTTGATTCCATTAACTGTTTATTAATTATGTAGATATATGACATGTTTAACAATATTTAGGCCCCATGTACTTTATGTGTATGGGACAACAAAACACAAACACAACACATACATAGGGTAGTAAGATAATCGGAGTTCCAAGTCCAGTCCGATTTTTGCGTACACCTAATACGTCATGACTGGCCATTCTCGAACGAAGTCCTATACAGAAAACGTATATCACATTGCGTTTTCTGGCGTCACGTGATTGTACCACGTGATTTATGAAAGTCCTATCTTTCAGTTTCTCTTCAGTGTATGTCTGCATGACATATTATTGTCTTGTGTAGCGTTCCTGGGTTTTACACAATACTAAATACGGATTTCACGACAAATTATTGAAGTCGTCGTCTTCAATTTGAAAACACATCACAGCAAACTATTCTGGTCAATAATTTGTCGATCTAGATATCTATTTATAGAATATCATAATCCGACGTGGGATGTGAATAAAGAATCCTTGGCAGCGTTTGATGACATCACACAATATTCATACGTAATATGCACGAAATACGAAAATGCGGCGAAAAGATTAACACTGCCTGGCACTTTTACCCGTTTTGTTTTGTTTCCTCTTATACATCAGATATGAGGAATGTGATAAATATGTAACAGTAAAAAGATGATAAACATAAATATCACGCATACACAAGAACTTCACACAAAACAGCGCTAAATAGTCTGCTCCAACTATTGTGGCTTCCCCACGCTTCCACCAGAACATAGCGGCCTCTCTGAGGTCTCACACATTGTACATGGATTTTTTGTGAATGTAAAGCACCATTTATTTTGGAAACATAACCACACATATTTCCAGAAACACTTGAGGCGTCAACTGCTTTTGACTTATTGTCTACGTATATCACCAATCTGTCCAGATTGTTCAAATAATCCTTCATTGCTGAACCCTCTGCAAAATGGTAGAAATATTCTTTTAAAATACTGATAAAACTTATTTCAGAAAGCATTTTGTGGAAAAATTCTGAACTTGTGTAAACGTTTACAGATAAGAATTCTTATTAATATTGGAAAAAACAGACAAGTCAATTATTACTCGTATCCAACTTTCTGAAAATTCATTTCAAAAAATTACACTGACCTTTGACCTTCTTGTCCCCTGACCCTTGCCAAGTGTATATTATTACACCGGACACTGAGGTTTTAGAGCCTAGGTCCACGGTCCAAACCGGTGTGTCTCCGTATAGATTGTCCAGAATGGTACAGGAATGGAGGTCAAAGTCGATTTTACCGTCTACTGCTCGGTCCGGATGACCCCTTACTATCTTCTGTGTAATATGTCTTTTCTTAGGATTTTTGCCGTTAATCCAGGCTTCTTTCTTGTAAGCCAAGTTTTCAACTATATTTGATAAATAAAAAAGTTAGGATTTCTAAATAATATACGATTGAAATCATTAAAGTTTGTGGTAAATTTTTTAAAGCCCTCCAAAAATGTTTTTATTCCATTTTGACTTACCACAAGGAGTATCATCGTTGACTCGCATGAATGACTCGCCGCAATTTCCAGCTGAATAAGATCAAAAAGCGGGTAAGTAAAATATGCAAAACAGGAAATATTTGTACTGAAATTTACATTTTTATTAACAACAGCAGTATGTAAGATCTGTGAAATTTGCACCTGTATGTGGACAGCCTAGGAGACCAGCCCGCATGCTGATTTTGCCGTTCCACTCCAAGGGATGGAATCGAACGAACCTCGCCACAAAGGGCGAGTTAATGTAATGAACTCGGGCAGTTTCTTTGTCACTATTACCACCGAAAAGCTACAAGCACAAGAAGATAGCAATGAAATGCTTGCAAAATAATTATACTGAACAACTAAAAAAAACATAGATATAGAAGATGTTTCGTATATCCAATCATTTGGTGTTTTGCAGTGCAAGCTACTTCCATTTGTACCATACTGTAATAAAACCATATCCATGCAAGGCTGTACAGTATATAGAGTGCGCAATATTATAGTAAGACCTGCTTACCTTGCTAATATTAAATTATTGTTTTAAAAAAAGATCAGATTGTTAAAAGAAATTATGCATAAAAATTGCATGCAGATCATATATTTCTCTTTGCTTAAATATATATGAAAGCATTCTTTTTATATATTGGCGGTTAATCATTGGACATGTTAGATATAGTTAATGCATTTTCTTTCTGTTAAATCAAATTGATTTAAAAAATTATTACATGTGAAGTTGCAAGTTAGTAATAAAAACAAAACCTGCAAATAAATTTCATTGTGCAAGTGCATGGTGTGCGCATGCGCATGCTGAAACACATAAAACATTATTCACACTTCTACCCAAATTATATTGAAAAATATGATGCGTGATTCCTCAAACACAAGATTATTTTTAAATGTCCAAATATGATGAAATGCAGCAGTTTCGGGTGTTCTTTATTAACATTACATGCAGTAACTTATTAGAAAACAAACTTGCATTGAGGAATCACTATATCCATGTATACTGTAGCAATTGCAAAAAGCTAGCTAGCCAGCGAACTTCGCTAATGCAGAACCGACAAAGTTGCTCTTACAACGCATGTTGCATAAACTTTGACCATTTCATGCCAGCCCTTTACTTAGTCATGCTGAATGATAACTTTGATCGTTTCTAACAATTTTGCTAGCACAATCAGCTATATGCAAAGAAGATCTAGCAATCTAAGTCACAACCATTAATGAGCTAACCTAATAATCCGCAATTGGGTTCTCTGCACTCGATTTTTGCGCAGCCGCTGAAAGACCTAGCAAAATATATGCCTCGCAATCAAGAGCAGAGAACCATTCACAGCATTTTGCTCTGTGTCGCAATTCGCACAAAGTGATTATTAGATTAGACTTGGTTGCTCGCTAGGACAGTTAAAACAGGAAGACAAGAAACAACGCCACCTTTCGGTTAGTTCTTACCAGGCCGTCGTCTGTATAAATGTCAGGTATTAATTGCGCAACGGTTCTATTGAACAGTGGGTTCCATAACCATGGATTCTGAGGCTACAACAAAGAGGTTGTCAGGATATGATGAGTAAATAATACAACCAAAAATAAAGACAGAGACAATCTAAACACACCGGAAATTCATCCTAATGAATCTTTGAAATAATTTAATTTAATTTCTTTTTTTTTAATTATTTTTAATTTTTTTTTTTACAATTTTAGTTTCACGGTGTGTATAGATCTAAAAGGTGTTAAACTGAAACTAAAACAGTTTCCCTCTTTTACAAACCCATTGAAAGAAGAAGTCGCAGTTAATATTCTCAAGAAAATAGACTGAAGTTGCTTTTGAGTTTGTTACGCGCATGTCGCATTGCTCACTTCCGCTTTACTGTATTTGGATAATGAAGCAAAGCAGTTTACAAAGGAGATGTTACTCCGTGTTAATTTCACACAGATCTATTCTGTATGAATTTCTGAAAGCCAGAGGGGTTTTCATTAAAATAAAAACATACACATTTAGGAAATTAGTTTTCCACAAAGGCCAGGGTGTACATGTATGCAATGGAGGACATATATTTACACCAAAAGGTTGTAATATATTTACAAAAGCTGTGATAAACAAAAAAATAATAAACAAATCCAAAACTTAAATCAGAAGCGTGTGTCAACTAGTTTTTCTTTTCCTTTTCACTAATTGCATGGAATTCCACTTCATGAAAGCATTGAATTCTTTAAATATGTTATAGGTATGGTTAATTAATTTCATTCCTTTCGCTCCAGTATCCCTTCCTTTTATTTTTATTTAATCAAGATTTGATCTTTTTATATTTTCTATACTTTACATAGGTTATATTTTTGAAAACCATAGTAGTTATGAAAAGCAAAATTGAAATGATATGATGACTCTTGGCATTAAAGAAGCACCAAACTTTAATTTAACTTCAAAACCACTAATCACGGATGAGAAAAAAGGATGGGTGGGCTTACCCTGGGGTCAACGCTGTGAGCATCCTTGTACTGATACCACCTCTGGGTATCGTTACTGTAGGAGATCTTAAATCTGGTCACCCAGTGTTTCTTTTTGCTGTCACCTCGCCCCTTGGTTAGAACACCGGTGATTAAAGTTGGTGGTCCCACGTCAATTTGTAACCACTGATTAACTGCAGAAAAAAAAAACCATTAGGATGAAATAAAGATTTTTTTTTTAATTTTAATTTTTTTTAATTTAATGTTCACCATGTTTACTGTGATATTTTGATCAAGAGAAATGAAATTGATTTTTAATTTTTTAATGTTCTAATACAAGGCCACATATTTGGGTCGGGGAAGTATTTTTATTCACATTGTTGAAAGTTCACGTGAAGGTCTTGCCATTCAGACCGCTGGGTTTCTTTAGCCAGTTTAATGAACTTCTAAACCTTTCCATAACATTAAGGTATTACATTCCATATTCAACTAGCAGTTACACTGGTAAAACTAAGACTGGGCTTCCATTCAAATGCCAGATTATATTACCCCCAGATTCCTACATATTTCTTTTTCAGACTCACGGAAAACAAATATTCTCGGTGACAAAATATTCAAAAATGTTTAAAGAAGCTAAAATATATTAGCGCTGAACAAAGCAATGATAATACATGTCAACGACGAGGTACATTTATCATAAAAATCAGTCCCTGGGTGCTAGAAAATACAGGACCTCTTTTGAGGGACATTCGTATTTTAATGCGTCTCGTGTCGGACCACCACCTTGCATGGAATATGATTTTATCCTTCACTAAGCATCAGACATTCTAAGGGCTATCAGCCGATCTGAGAAGGATCATTTCACCTTACACAATAGAAAATCGACATTCGAGGGCTGGCGAGTCACTAATACAATCTCCCCGTCACAAATGTATCGAAGACGGATCAAAAAACCTCTGATTTCTGACCGAGTGGTCCTTTTAAATCTAAGAATGATGTCGGGGCTTCCCATCGATAGGTTTCTGTCATTTTATCAATGGAGGTCGAAAAAGACATGTACATAATAATATCTATGCACAGATATATATTTTTTTCATATAAAAGATCTATAAAGATACCAAACTGCAAAGAAGAAAATTCGGATTTTTGAAAGCTATTAAATTTCAATTTTAACTGACAGTAAGAAAGATTATTATTTATCATGAAAACTTATAAGCACCATTGTTCCTCTTGGCACACCATCCCTTCTTGCTTAGAATGTTTCCATCTTCGGGCTGGCAGGAATCTTTCCTCTTGTTCTTCCCATTGGTTGAAGTTGTTATTCGACCATAAGGTGGCAGACCAATGCTTTCTTTGCATACTGTATGAGATATATTTCGTGTGTAAATTTCATATTTTAGGTATTTCAAAACAAATATGTTTCGTGTGTAAATTGTATATTTTAAGGTATTTCAAAACAAAACCAAATTTTGTGAACGTGACAAAGAGATGATTCTTACATTGACATCCTAAAATTTCGACACGCATGCTCGGATGTCTGTGCCAGTGGACTGTGTGGAACTTGATGTAGCGAGCGATGATTGGTCGGTCTAGATAGGTGTGTTTCACGGAGTACGCATCTGTATTGCCTTCAAATACCTACAGCAAAAATGACATCTATTAAAAAGGGTGAATTAAACTCCGTCTCAAATGCTCCAACTCAATTAATTTTCTCTATAATGTGGTAGAGGCCTACAGGGACAAAGTGTCATAAATAAAAAATAAATGGCTAGAATAAACTGACTTGAATGAGGTACTTGTGGACTTTTAATTCGTCCTTTTGTTTGTGAACGTAGAAATTGCCAGATATCATTGATCATACTCCCATGTCCAGACGCTTGCGGGTTAAACATTGAAAATCATGTTCTTTTCCGACTTTCATTTGTATCTGAGCGTGAAACCAATTCATCACATTTCAAGTATACAAATCTCCCGGCATGCTTTTTTTATTTGAAAATCACTATTCCATTTCAGATACTAGAGGAATCTTCCAGTTTTGCTTACCCTGTGATTGCCGTATTGATCCGTGACGTAAAGCTCGTTATAATCGTCCATACTGTAGGAAACCTTAAATGACGTCACCCATTCTTTACCGTCACCCCTTCCTTGCGTCATCACACCAGTTACCTACGGACGAAAAATAGTCAATGTTAGTGCACTGTACATTCAATGGAATCTGAAGATATCGTAAATTAAACAGTTATTTAGAACAACATTTAATTGGGGAGTAGATATATTAAGAAGATCTTTCTTTGTATGAGTTTGATTTTTCTATTGTGCTGAATATAACTTGATTTTTGTATTTTGCGTTATATTAGGTTGTACTCAGTATTTGACATTCCAAAGTACACAAGGTTAGCATGACATTGAAAATCAATTCCTGACTAGATTAAATGTTCGAGCTGATTAAAATGTGATGCCACGATTTATAGCTCTGCATCACGGTCACAAAGTGTATCAGGTAGAGAGAGTTAGCGCGGATGTGACACGAGGACACGCCCGTCAAAATCGGGCAAACGAGTGTATTAACTGCAGTAGACAGAAAAAATTGTATGGTTTTAGGAAATAGTAAAGTGCCAATTTAAAATAAATCTGGGCTTAATAAAGCTCTTTGCATGGCGCCATTATGTCTTGAAGTATACTACATGTACATATGTAAATCTTAGTTTTATTACAATTTTACTTATCTTTAAATTGTGATATAATGAGCGAGTTTAACACCAGAAAAACTTAGGTGTTGCTTTTCTACAAAAGAGTCAACTAGTCGCGAAGGAATTTTATTCATATGTAGTATGTCTTTAAGTTATAAATTCTTTAACAAGTGAAGTGTAGTCTTTATTCAAATGTGCATCGCAATTCTGTCATATTTCTTCAAATATTTTAAGACAGCTAATGTTTTGATCACCTGTCATGATATATTCTTACGCCTGGTGCCATACCACCGCCTGGTGATTACGCCCTGGGTATACGATAGTAAGTTGTGATAATTGCAATATGAAAGTATGCTTACATGTGAGTCTATTGATTATATATCAGGTGGGGGAAAATTAATGCCACCATTACTTATGATTGGGCAATAGTCAAAGTGTTTACTTCAGATAATTGTTGATTATCTCCCTTGTTTCCTCAGAGATCTTTGTGGGTTTTGGAATTGAACATCGTTATCACCAAAAGTGCCGCTGACGAATTTTAACCTGGCTTATTTCCACCTTAACATTATGCATATCAGAAAAGTCCCCAAATCTCTTTATGATGAAAGATATTTTAAATCAATTAGACACGACAAATACGAAACTAAGATTTATTGGTCAGTTTTGAGACTATACCACCTACAATAAGTTTTCAAGCGTAGCTGACTTCAAAATAAGAAAAGAGAATGCCATACTTTCCCAAACAACTTATTAAAACAATGTGTTACAGTACGGCCTAGTACTGAAGAACCATATCTCTGTTATTGAAAATGTCAACAAAAGTTACATACACCGGGCAGCTGATACGGGATGATAATTCAATTATCAGTGTCAACACCGGTGGGCTTTTGGGGAAAGAGTCGGAATAAGTGGAAGTACCCACACCCTGTAGTAGCCAAGGTGAAACAAACAAGATGTACCCAAGATAAAACGCCAAATACGGCTGGGGACATCACACGTGTTACGATGCTTAAAACGAGTTCGTTACAACTGAGTTATTTTGAGACATTTCTAGGTCTGCAACAGGGAGATTAACTTTATCGACCATTGTTATCGTTAGCTATCTGGACAATTGGTAGGATGTTATGAAAATCCAAGAGCAAATACACTGGACAAGATTAGAGAGGCAATGATAATCGGACTTCTAATCAAATGCTAACAAAGAACAAATCTCATAAACTTCATCGACTTGTAACATCAAAGTGCATCTATAGTCCCGGCTATCGGTCAATTTGACCCCTATATCTCTTTTCACTGTATTATTATCAAAATGCTCGGTGTCAAGAGTATTTTAATTACCAGGGCGTGTTCGTTTTTCTTGACTTTCGGCTAGGTAAACTTTGCACAAATGCAACCTAATCTGTCACGTATTTGTACGCCGTCTTATTTGCTATTAACTTAATCTTAAAAAACATAGTTTAGTTAAAACGATTAAAGGGAAAGTCACTTTTTCCAAAATTCGGATTAAAGTGGTTTAAGAATGCAGTAGAATTGGTGCTGAAGAAATGAATGCAAAATATGTTTTTTCAGATAAAATAAAATCCTCTTCTCTTTTCAAAACTGAAACTTAATTCATCCATGACGTTTCGCTCTAACAATTAGACAAGTTCTAACGAGGCATCCTTATGCCCAGAATTTCACGGTCTCCTACGTTTTTGAGACGATATTATAATAACAGATGTGCAATGTCATACCAGTGATACTTCGCGCTAGCTTTAAGGACAGAAATTCGCGCTATACAAAGAAAATAATTCATGGTAAATACCAAAAAAAAATCTTCCTTTGAAAAGAATTTTTGGGTGAGAATAAAAAGGAAATATTTGGGTTCAAGAGGGTTTTGGCAGTTTGTGTCGTTGCAAAAAAGATTAATTAAAAACTTATGCGTAAATAAGTTTCTATAATGTGTATAGAGATGGCAAATAAATATTTAAGTGGTCTAAATGGTATTAAAGCGGCACATGCACCTCGGTAGACAGATATATCACGCTCTGCTATAATTAATGCATGTTCCGTAATTTGCTGACAGATCCTAACGAAGATACTGAATTTTTGCATTAAACGACTACGTTAATTTGTTTACAATTATTTAATAGAAAGAATTTTTTTTTAATGAAATTCACAAAAAATAATTTTTGGTTAATTAAAAATATTTTCCTTCACAAAGCACATGAACAACAATTAATAAATCTTATTTTGGGGGGCTGACGAAATTCGGAAACAAAAATACTTCGACCATATCTTTTTGCAGTTTAGTTTACATCTGTTCATAATGTATGTCACATTTTTGTGCTTATAATGTGGGCGTTAAACTGAAAATTTGAAAACATTGCCAAAAGCAATGTAAAATAATGCACATCATGGTTTAATTTATTCAATTTTTAGCTCATTAAACTTTTGTTAATTAAGGAATCTCACCCTAGCTGCTACTCCAAGATCGACTTTCAGCCATTCGGAAGACGACTTGTATTTGGCGCACCAGCCATATTTATTGGGAAGGTAAACTCGAGCGTATTTTTCTGCACACTTTTTATCCCATTCCAAAGGATACGTCGAGGAAGCAGTGATTTGCCAGTCCTGGATAGACCCCGTGATCATTCCCAGCGGGCCATTCGTCACACAAACTAAAAAATATAAGAATTAATTAGAAAAAACGAAAAAGAATTCATCGAATATATATGTCTGAAATTAAAAAAAGAAACACATTGAAAGATAAAATTCGGTAATAAAATAACCATTTATATTGATATTTTGTGTAATTTTGAACAGCAGGGGAATTATGAATTATGTATTGCGGACAGAAATTCTGTCTAAAGTGCCCTATTATTATGAACTTTGTGGATGATATTTGTTCATGCAGTTTCAAACTGCTGTTTTCCTTGGTAGCTCAAAGATTTGAAGCAGTAATATATGTGCAGAATATCCCTCTAATCGCAATATTGGCGATTTATTATTTCATTTACCGTGATGTAAATGTAGCGCCTACTTATTTTGTTCTCCATAAAAAAGAATAATATTATAACTCATAGTTTATATTGAATCAATTAGGCATAAATCTCGGTTATCTATTGAGGAGATTTATGAGTACGAATTAATGATGCCAATATTGTCAGTGTCACAAGAACGCTTCGCAAAAAAATGTTCTATTTCATCCATTAGAGGCTTGACACTTGGCTATTACATGTGTTTTGTTGTAAATGTGTGTAAAACGTTCGTGTCAACAAACATTGAGACATCGCCCTAAAAATCAGCACTTTTAGGCACAAATATTACCCCCCGAAAATAGCGCCTTTTTCAAAAGAAATAGGAAAATTGAAGTATTCAGCATTTGGACAAACCGCGAAGCAGTCATAAAAACAGGGTATCATTGGACAATTGTGTGTCATTAACTTTTGCCCAAGAATAGAATTTTATTAACGGTTGCATAACGAAAAAACGCCTTCTAATTGAAATATCCAATACAATGGTTGCGGGAGTTTACTCATTCCAAGCTTTATAATCGCTAAAAGGATCCATTAACGCAATTTTATTAAATGCTAAATAGTTCTCAATACATGTTAAAATGTCGTTAAAAAGTGCCTGACGCAACAACGGTAATAAATTTTTAGGTCTTTAAGCCAAGGCAATGACATCTTTGTACAACAATGTCTTCGATGGAGTAATTCTAATTGTTATTAATGCTATACAGAAGGAAAAATTAAGGAAACCCTTTTTCTCGAAATATAATGCTAAAGACATTTGTTTCCTTTTCTTGTTTAAGCGACAAAGCTTTCAATTGGCTTTATCGTAACAGTTAATTAGAACTTTGGCAAGAACACAAACTAAGCCTTAAAAAGCCCACCAGCTCATAAACTAAGGGAAGGAAGTGCTGAACTGCAAAATAATTAGTTTTGGGAGGTTTACTCTCTACTTCTATTTATCCTTCCTCTGAAAAAATAACAAGTAAATGAATTTTGATATTTCCATATAGACAAAAATATTGTACAAATTAGATGTAGACGAAATTAATTTCAAAACCAGAAGTAAATCTTGTATAATTAGAAAGAAGAGAATATGAGAAACGTAATTTCCTGATGTGTTTAGATATACAGTCAAACCTGTTTTAAGAGGCCACTCATGGGAGAATGACAAATTGGCCACATAAGACAGGTGGCCACTTATTCCACGTTTCAAACCAATGAATAAAAAATTGCAACCACAGTTGTATATCTATTTTCACACGTATCCAATTCCAATTTCAACACATTAAAAAACTTATGAAGTTTTAAGTCACAGAAATCCCTTTTCTTACAGAGATGAATTTTTGAAAGAAATCTGTTATTGTTTTTTTGTGTGTGACTGTGTTTGTTGGCAATTTAATTATACGGCCATAGAATGTACATCACAGGAAAATTTCCCTGATGCTGTGTAAAGCTTTCTTTATTTTTCTAGATACATATTTATTTATATAACATAAAAGGTTAAAACGGGAGACTGATACTTGATAACCTCAGGCAAAATTGTAATTAATATAGCCTATTGAAATTATTTCATGAAAATATTCAACAACTTACTTTCGTATATTAAGAACACCAAAAATCATTTGTTAACGAATAAATCATTTAATCATATTAATTAAATCATTAAATCCTGACAGAATTCAAATTACACCTGCAATTATTGGTCATTAACTCATTATCAGCTGCTCATGTTTGGCTTCGTATGAGGATACGAGGTCACGTGTCAGACGGAAGTCATGTGACAAAACAGACAAAATGGCCGCTGAAAACAGGCATGTTGAGCGCACGGGACCTAAAAACACTGGCCACTGGCCGCGTTAGACAGGTGGCCGCTTAATTGAGTTAAAATATAGTGAAAAAATGATCGGGCGGGATTGAAACTGGCCGCTCATGGGGAGTGGCCGCTGATTAAGGGTGGCCGTAACAGCAGGTGCGACTGTATAACAAAGATCAAAAGTGAGGGGACTAACAGTTAATTCTGAGACGCGAGCACTTCATAGCAGAGATGATGCCAAATTTTCCCGTCAACTACTTAATACTCTGGAACTCTGTTTCAACACGCACAATTCATCATCTTCCCTCTGCAGAAATTGGGGGTTGTGTTCAAAACGAACAATGCTCCGTTTTTAATCGCCTAAACAGAGCAGAAAAATTAGTAACGCTCACTTGTCACGTTATTAATTTTTAAACATTTTTTTGGTAGTTAAATGAAAATCAACCCAGATGCGCATTGAAAAAAGAAGGCAGCCAAATAGAACTAAAAAGGGGGTCAATAACTTTCATCTGATGGGGTGGAGAGGGGCAATATTGAAGATGTGACCCAGGAAGGCATTTTTTACGATTCTTTATCAATTTGTACAATATCTAATGCAGATGAACGCAGAACGAGGGATAATAAATGGTTATGCACGTAATCAGTTGAAATTCAATTATCGCTTTTTTAAAGTTCAACAGAGAAATCATTTTCACCTTTTCCCTCGCAAATGTAAACGTATTGGAGAGCATTATATCAGAATTGGGGGAAATTGAAGAAATTTTCTCCACAGGTGACGAGAAAAATGCCGTTCCATGTCGTCCGCACGCCGGCCCTTTAACGCATTCCGCAGGTAACCCAAACAGGTGAATTGTAGGATCTTTACCTCACAATATCACCTTGTGTGCCACATTGCTCTGGTGTTTTTCATCATTATAGTTTCTGTTTTACAAAAACCGTTTCCTTGCCGTTTTTTACCTCCATTTTTTGTGTTCCTTTTTTGTTATAAGGTTATCACCAATGAATTCATCCTCTAAAACAATAACACTGGTGATTTACACCTAGGAAGTGACAGTTCAGAGTTGCTTAGATTTTATTTATGTGCTTTTTTTATTTCATATTTGAACTTAACGTCTGGAGTACTTGTTTTTTATGGCAAGATATACACACGTGCTTTGACATACTTTTAAACTTTTCCACAACCTCGCTAGGATAAAATTTTGCTTTGCAATGGGTAATACTGAACAATACGAATAGTCAATTATTAGACATACAGATATTACTCATTTTGGCAACTGGAAATCACTTTTCGCATGTCTAAGAAGTTAACATATCATTCATCAAGTGTTTTCTTAGCAGCTCTGTAAAACTGATGAATATTCAGAAGAGTACTGCAAGAAGAAGTCTGGCTGTTGAACTTAACAAAACGGCCTACACTTATTGGATAAAAAACATAAACAATAATTGACGTGAGTCAGCTCTTGACCTTAATATATTTTAGAAAAACCTATATGTAGATCAGTGCGGATGTTTTTTGTCTAGCGGGTTGTGGCTCTTTGCGTTTTAAGATAAAATTCAATGCCTTTTACACTATCAAGTTCTTTTTTCTATTTGACTTTCTAATTAGCCAATTCAGCTGATATTGTAGTGTAGTTATGCAAAGTTCACTTAAGGAGATCCATTTGAAGTTGATATTTCCCCTGGGTTTATTCATTTTCCTTCCTTTCAAACAACAAAAAATGTCATTTTATCAAACGTAAGTATCTACATTCATCACCTTAAAACCACCAAGTCTTGAAGGTATCCGTACAGCGGCAGTTTAAAAAATTAAACTCAATAAATCTTTAATATTAATACCTTATAAGTCCATTTCATGTTGAAAAATATGTGCTAAAATCAAATTTTGTTTTATTTATTCAAATCCTTAAATATTAAAAAAAGACTTTTCCCTTATTTACAGAAATTATCTCAAGGATAAGAGTTTTATCACCGCCTACGACTTCTTTTCATGATCAAAAGCATTCATTAATATCTAAAACATAACGTATCTGAATTCGGGTGTCATAAAAATGCACAGTAGCAACACAAGACTTTTCAGATTTAAATGCAAGAAAATTAAAAAACAAAGGAAGACTGAAAGTGTCAGATGCCACAACTGTTTGAAACTAATTAACAGTTATGTTGCGATTCAGATGTTTGTTTCTATACCATTCTTCAAACAATAGCAATCATGCTCACCATGTGCATTTTGTATGAAAAAGAATTCTATATCAATTTAAGATTTCACCTTTTACCAGAAATTATAATTTACTTTTCAGCTTGAGCTTTTTAAAAATTCCCCTTTACGCTATACTTACCATTTCCATAACTAAATCCAAAGATACAAAACAAGGCAAGAGTTGTCAGTCGTGCTGCAGCCATCTGTTCGAAAGTTTTCACCGACATCAAAAAGAAATTCGGATTTCTCCTTTTTTTTTGAAAATATAAATCTATATCCAGCTGTATGGTTATCACATCCCAATCTAGAATTAATATACAGACTCACATTAACAATTCCTGAAAGAATGAATATAGATATATATCCTTCTATGTTATGTTATGTCGCAAACTTCTCTTTCCTCTTGATATTGTTTTCCGGTGAAAAACATTGAAATTCATAAAGTACCACCAATATTTCACATTTGTTTTGTTTTTTTAATTCAATAATATTTTTTAAGTATTATTCCAAGTTTCAGTAGTATGTCAACGGTGTACTTTCTGTCACAAAGATAGATAAATTATGTATACGTCGAGTAAAAATATCACAGGTGACTCTTTCGAAAAACACGACTATGCGCAAGATCGCTCTCAGGTAAACTAGAGCTCTATGAAAAGACGCAGCGTCACGGCTGTTTGATTATGCAATGCTGATTTTGAACTATACGGAAAACCCTCTTCACATCTCGCGAGACACCCCGAGAGTTTGTGAAGATAGCTATTATAGTAAAAACTTCGTGTTTGAAATAGTTTGAATTACTTATCTCCTCTTTTCAACCTTATTTTTTTAACAAATAGAAGGGGCGGGATTTTAAAAGTCTCCTGATTTAAAGGTAAAATTGAATGTGGAATCCACTGTCTGCGTGATTTGTAACACATGAGAACAAAAATTGCTGAAAAAAAAATCATCACTTTCATAAATTATCCTAGGAGTGTATGAAGTGCTTTCTCATATCTAAATAAAACTACATTGTTAAATACAGTCTTAAATTTTAATCGTTAGGTGATTAACGTTAATTAAAAATTAAACTTTACTATAAATTACGTGCCATGTTAAAAAATTATTCTTGGCCAGCTTTCCGAAATTTGAGTGTCATTTACCTACCTCGAATTAATCTTATGCCATGTGTACATTTACCTATATTATTTGTAATTAAGAAAAAGTTTTACGTTTAACTTAATGATTCATTTAAACGTCCATGTATAAACAATTATAATAAAAAATAAATCTCATCGAATTTCAAGCAGTTAGGAATTAAAGCTGAACAAGTTACATATATATGAATTACATTTTTACTGGTGAAATTTTAGTTTGAGTTTCTGTCATTTCTATTTTTATCGTTTACAAAATGAAAAATGAATGTCTTTTTAGCTTCCAAAAATGAATATTACACTTTCAAGTTTGTTTGTCTTTAAGTCTTATAGATGCTACGTATATACAACGTGGAACAGTATTACACAAGTACTTGCAAAGAAAAGATTTAAAAAGCAGATTATGAATTCTATTTATCTGCGTCTATAAGCACGTGCTCTTTCTATTTTAGTTTCTTTCTCTATAGACGAATATATAAATTTATTGATTTTAAAGTAAAGTACATATAAGCACTCTATGATTAGGCAAACGTTTATTGAAATTACCTGCGCTTTTAGAGTAATCAACACATTTAAAATCCTGCTAATGCTAAATGCACTCAGTCTGCAGGACAAAACTCTCGAACATATACAGCATGCCGACAAGCAGATGTTCAAATCATTTTTTCTGCACATTTATTTTATATATTTTTGATTTTAAGTCTTATTCAAAAAACATTGTCTTCCATCAGTATAAAAACGGCGTGATTTCAACAGCGTTATTACTTTTTATTTATAAAACTTGCATTAAAAAATTTCTATATGATTGAATTTTGTTTAGTAGAACAAAGACTTAATTGAATCAGATGACTGGGTCTTTGTTTATTTAAGGAGAATTTTTGAAAATCATTTAATGGGTACTTATAACAGAACAGTTCTTCTTATATACGGAAATAATTATGTAAGTACTTCCTGTTTTTTTTCTTTTCCGATAAATCACAAGTTATCATCTTACTGCACATTTGCCGACATTTACTTTCTATTAAAGTGCTGTATCCTCCACGCAGTTATGGCATCCGATTTTGGTTTTGCTTAATCATTTCCGGTCTCTTCAAAATTCTGTAAAATGTTATTTTGTAAACAAAAACAACATTGTTTCTTAGCAACGGAGTGGGCGCGGTCAATATCAGGATGTCTCCAGCATTCTTTGTTGAATATGTTGGAATTAGATACTATTTCATCAAATATCTATTTTTGGCGCTGGTGTGAAAAGAGGACTGTCAAGTAAATTATTCAATCAATCACTTATTTGGAGCTGCAGAAACACCTTTCATTTGGTAAAATATTTTCAACGGCCCGAAATAGTCGTAGAATCGGGGCTATCAAGATAAAATTGAAGACGCGCACATCTGATTACGTTTATTTTTCATATTAATTACCATAAAAAAATTTAAAATTTATCTTTTTAGATATTCTTCAGGTTTCCTTTTTCAAAGTCATTGAAAAGTTCTTGAAATGTATGGAATACCGATATAATTTAAAAAACGGAATGTAAACACCGCTTTATAAACTTATATGAAATCGAATAGACAGAGGTGTTTAAACAAATCTGAACTTTAAAGAGAATATTGTTGTGTGTTGTATTATCATTCTTTTTTAAAGCGCAAAGAGCCGGGAAATTGTAAAAGAAAAGTGGACCTTCAATTTTTTTTAATTGACACCCACACTTCTGAAAAGTGCGTCTTGTATGTTACAATTTACAAAGGGCGTAGCACATTGAGGGATCTCACGCCCAAGCCCGCCAAAGTTGTACACGATCTCGATGTTCTAAATACCATGGACGAAATTTAGGAAAAATTCTAAGAAACCGAAAAAAAACCAAACAAACCAAACCAACAAACAAACACACACCCCCATCCCACCCCACACACCCCATAAATATTCAATTAGAATGTATGTAGAGTATATATTTTTTGCCTCGAAGAGTATATTTCAATTGTGCTGAATATTATGTGCTATATTTAACAAAAGACATCTTAATGGATCTGCCATTTTTAGTTGTAATAATTAATTAGTACAATAAATTATTCAGTAAGCTTTTTCCTACACTCGACCATTTTACGTTATGCGATTACTTTGATTATAGAAAAACTTTTTGAAAATCAAAAAACTTTTCCCTCAAGGATTTCTTTTTTTTCCAATTCTTTTTGTATGACATCAACTGCATTAAGCAAACACTGAGAAAAATGGGCTTTAATCTTGTTTAAATAAGAGTTACTGCATATCATTACACTTTAAAATAATTTCTCACGGGCATAGACATTAGAAAGCGCTTCTTATGTAAACTGGAAAAGTTCACGTATTTTAAAAATTCCTAGCATATCCCTGCACAAAGACTTCCAACTCTAAATCCCGAGGAAAAGTTGTTAAGAGTGTTGTTCAAAGTAGACAAGCCCGCCCCCTGGTATTGAATCGAAAAGAGAGAAGAAAACTGTAGGGTCAAAAACTGTTTGCGTTGTAAAAAGGATTTTTTAAATAAGGAAAAACCACATTCAGCGATTCTAGTAAATTGTTACTTCTACTGTCTCTAGGGAGAGCTGAAAAAATTTCGTACATAAATGACATGCAATGCTAAAAAATACAAGAAAGTTTCCTTGAAACTGTTCATAATCCAACGATATACCTGAATCATTTATCATGCTTTGTCCGTAAATGATGTATTCTTTTCTTCAATTTAAAACAAACATAAAAACGTGGGTGACTTCCTGACCATTTCGTTATTTAGTGTCACCCACACAGACTTGTTACTTACGGAGCTGTAACCTATCAATTTATTGCTTTAGACAATGAATCAACAGTCTAATAACCATGATAGGAAATGTCTTAAATTTCCCTTTTGACTAATAATTTGTATTCACAATGCCAATCAATTTTGAAATATTTTTGCTAATATTTTCGTGTTTAATTTGCGTGGAATCATCAATTTTCGCAGATGATCTATGGTCGTACATTTTTGTGGGCACTGCAACCCTTACCCACGAAGTTAAATCCAAATGAACGGTTTATTGAATTTCCTGTATAAAAAGAGTAACAAACAAAATTGCGATCCCTCGAACCAGTAACATTTTGATTGTCCACGAATTAAATTGGTTCTACTGTATCTGATCAGTATACCTTTGGAAGCCTTCACCAAACAAATGTTGATGAAATGAAGGGAAAGATAATTCCCCTAGCTTATTCCTTGATTAGACATCAATTAAAATATAAATGACCACTTCCTGATATTCCCTACTGGTCAACCCTATGTACAGGTATTTTAAAAGTAAATTAAACAGTGTCTTTTGACTTTTTGACATACGGGATGGACCTTAATTGTAGTCAATTATAGGATTAACACGAGTGACATTTTTTGCCCAAGTTTCTTTTCATTTTGTACTCATTCCATAGAATAAAAGAACTCGGGGGATACATGAGGAGGAATGCAGTATGCTCATTACAAACGACTAATATGACTTGATTTTTATTAAGTATTGGTCTTTAATTCAAACATAGCCTTTCACCAAACTTCACAAATTTTCATGGTGCATATGATACCTGCAATCTGGACACGTATTTAACTGTCAATCGCATCTTGGACCTTTCCGGCAAGGTCTAAAAAACATCCAAATTGTATTCCATCACCGGATATTAAACGTTTACGCTAAATGGAGTCCCTTCTAATATTTTTAAGTATTGGATAGATGGACTAGGAAGCCCCTTCTGTAGTATATTTTTGGAAATACTATCTTTATATTCAAAAAGGTTAGCTCCGTATTTTACATATCAGAAGCCTTTCAACATTTATTCAAGAAGGTGGTTGTTATGGACTTCTACGTAAACCGTTCGACGTGTTTATTCCCGCTTGTCGGAAGACCGAGAAGTTGCGATAGGTTTTACTTGAGCGACAAACTGCACTGTCGCAAACGTGTGAGCAACACCTTACGTTACATTAACGTTTATAGCCAGTTTATCATATCAGTATTACTCATGTAACTTTTTCGTTACGTCAATTTTCGATTACAAAATATGGTTGTCGTACAGGATGCGTGATCAACAAATATCAAAGTGACAATGGTATGAACAATGCTTGACAAAGCGGACACTGATTCTACAGGTTCTCTCACAAAGGTCATAGCAAAGACCAGAAATAATGTTCTCTCATTGACAGAAGTGATTTTGAAAGTGCAATTCAATTGCTTTTTGCTAAGCTTTGATTTTTTTTTAACAAGGAAAATTGCTTCGAATGAAAAATATTGTTTTACCAATCTGTAGAAAAATAAACGAAAAATCACACCTCTCTTTTCAATAGATTGTAAAATATTTAAGGAATGACTCTAATTCTTGGCCAAATTTTATATAATCTGGTTTGGGTCAGTTTACGCTTTATAATCCGCGAAGCGGATTATAAAAAAGCGTAAACTGATTCCCCAAACCAGATTATACTCGATAATTTGGCAAAGAATTAGAGTCATTCCTTATAATTTAATTTTAAAATAATTAAACAACTTTGGATGTAAAATTGTGTTGCTTTTTACAAGTTCAAAT